ACCTACTGGCTGCTGTCTGTAAGGAGAAGGGTGAGGAGACCTCACCCAGGTCATCCCTGGTCCCATCGGAGTGCCCTTCCTACTTTATACTGCTCTTCTGTGCTGTTGATTTCATGGAAAACACTTTTTTCCTGCTCAAATCTCTCATTATTTAGGGTTCCCCTTATCTGGGGTTTACTTTAAGTTCCTGACTCCAGCTGAGAGGAAATGTTGGGGGTGGGGGGGTGCAATAGACATGGAGGGACTTTGTGCAGGGTTCCTGGGCAGTGTCTCAAAGATCACCGTGGTACAGAAAAGTCAGGTAGTACTTTGGGTGCCTATTTAATGGTTGCTTTATCCATTTTTGCTAATAATTTATTCAATTTAATAACCCTGGAGGTAAAGTTTAAAAATAGTTTATAGTAAACAATTCTAATCCCTCAGACTTATTTGCATGCAAAAAAGTTAAATGCATTGAGGGAAGATATATTAGATTAATTATACATTGAGTTAATAAAGGAAAAAGGGAAGGGGAATCCTGGGCCTTCCTTATTTTAGTTAATGAAGAAAAGAGATCAAGATTCTGGGCCAAGAAAGCATGGTGGTCTGTCCCAGACCTGAAGCCCGTGGCTCTAACACCCGGTAGTTAACTTCCTGGCTGGACAATTTTTCTGCTTTCCAAATACAGAAGGGCCTGTCAGACCACACTGGATGGAGGCCTACTTGGACATAATGAAAATGGGTTGGATAATTTTAAAAAATAAGACATGATAAGAAAGTATAATCGAAAAACCACATGTATCTTTGAAATTCCTAACATATACTAAGCAGTAGAAAAAATTTAGATCTCATTTTACTACCACATCATCTTCTTTAGGCTACCTTTTGATGTATTTATAAGATACAGTTGGCTTTAAATGTCCTCATTTGGCATAACTTGGCTTTTACATTTTTCCTTGGTGATAACATTCCTAAGGGCATCCAGCATTCAAAAAGCAATAGCTGTTTTCTTGGAGAGAAAAGCGCTTCATGGTAACGGTGGTATTTTTCAGAACCTCCCATAGCTTGGGCTTTCTTATGGGGGTGGCTCCTCTGTCACTTTGTTTGGCTATGGAGAAGTGCAAAGATTTGTAGCAACCACAAGTAAGACAGAAAGTCCATTTTGGAGTGGAACAGGTCTCTGATCCTTCAGTTGTTGTCTGTGCTGTGATGTGATTATTGTTTGTCTCCTTAAACTAGTGTAAGAGTTTAATCCCCAGAGTCATGTGGCAGTGGTATTAAGAGGGTAGAAACTTCATCAGCTATGGTGTTTAGAGGCAGGTCCCTAGGAAGTGACTAGGATTAGATAAATTCATTAGGCAGAGCCTATGACTGAATCCTTGCAGCTTTTTATAGGCCTAGGGAGCAAGACACATGTGACCTCCTGCTCTGCTCCAGGACATGGCCAGCAAGAATCCTTTACCAGATGTGGCTCCTTCATCTTGCACATCTAGACCCAGGAGTCAAAATAAACTTCTTTCTTTATGAAGTAGCCTGTCTTTGATATTTCTTTATAATAATGAAAAAAAATGGGCTAATACAGTCTCCAAACTGATAAATATATATTAGAATTTTTTCTGTTACAAGTGACAAAAATCCATTTTAATCTAGATTAAGAAATGAAAGTAATTTATAAACTCCTAATTAAAGTGTTTGAAGGTATATCTTGATGGCTTCAGGCATGGTTGGATCCAGCTCATGTTCTTTCTCTAGCTCTTGGGTCTCTGTGTAATGGTGTTATTTACAGGTGTGGGGAAGATGACCGTTAGCAGCCTCAGGTTTATATCCTTATTTGTTTGGTCCATAAGAAAAACCCTCTCTCATCAAATATTTATATATACATTTCAGGAACAATTCTGTTTGACCTTATTTCAATCTTATTCTCAACCCTGAACCAATCACTGTGACTGACGTGGTTTATGTGATCACTTTGTGTGCTAGGAAGCAGTCAGGTGAGGCCCAGTGACAGACAGAACTTCATGCATTAGTGACGAGGTGTATGTGCAGATATGTGGGACAGCAAAGGAAACCGAAATGCTACTGGTAGAAGAAAGGTAGACTGAAGGGAAAACCCACCGATGTCCACTTTAGGGCACACACTTCCAAATTATCACACTTTGGTTAGCCTTCTGGCTGTGTCCTCAGAAACTGGTAGGATAGATTTTTAACTGTTACTAAGCAGCATAGCTACTGGTGAAAGGTGCTTTGCATGGAGGAGCTGAGATGAACTGTAAATACCAGAGGACACCAGAACCCTGTAACTGCACCTGTTTCTTGGGACCCTGGAAACTGGGTCCAAGGAGTGCCTGTGGCGCATGAGCCTTCTAAATTAGGGCAGTGTGCATCTTGTAACTTGTAACTAAGTGCTCAGCTGCAGGGCCAAAGACAGCAACTCCTGGATGCTGTGTGGACCATGGGTTCAAGAGGCACTGCTGACAACAACAGGGTGGGCTGGTGTCCTGCATCTACATGCGTGCCAATGTGATAAATTCTTAGTTGAATCTACAGAGATCCCTGGTGGGCACTGAAGTCCCTTTTGTAGTTAGGTGACATTGCGCAGTTTGTTTAAAGAAGTTCCCTAGTCAAAGGTAGCAGAAACCCAACTCAAACCTTTTTTTCCCCTTTTGCAGTACTGGGGATTGCACACAGAGTCTGTACATGCCAGGCAAGTGCCACAGCCTCTGGAGTACCTGGGATTACCCAGGTAGCTTGGCCCAACCCAAACTACCAGTATTTTAAGAAAAAACAAAACAAAACAAAGGAACTCGATTGGCTTTCTCAGTCCAGGTGTGGATTGCTCCAGGTGTGTCTGCATCCAGGAGCTCAAGCCGTGCCATCAAGGTTCTTTATCTCTTTCTGCTTTTTAGTTCTGCTCTCCACCATGCAGGCTTCATTCTCAGCTAGGGTCTCTTTATCCAGAGGCAAAGAGGGCTACTGACAGCTTAGCTGCTTACTGGAGAATAAAAAATAGAAAGTCCCGGGGAAACATCCCATGGCCAACTCTGCTTGGCCTGGTGTGGCCTGTACCATCCCTGAAGAAGCACTGTCGCCAAGGAGGATGCGGTAGAAGGGGAGAGTCTAGAATAAGGAGCTGTACAGATGGGTCAGCATGGAAGTTTGTGGGCAGAAATCAGGGAGCAGGTGCTGGTTTCTCCTGATGGGGTGGATCGGCAGGCTTCAAAGGCTGCTGCCTGCCATTTTGTATTGCCTACCTCCCATCCATACCCACACAGCCACACTGAATGCTGTGCCCTTATTCTGTGTTGATGGAACCCTAGCACTCATTTACCACAGTGCCCTGTAACTACCTGTGTGGCTCTCTTTCCTACTGTACTGTGAGCTGCTTTGGGCAGCATTTTTTTTTCCCTCCTGGCCTCTCTACTGCTTATCCCAATATCTGACATTTACACATTTGCTTGACAATTGTTGGATAAATGGGTGGGTGACTTAGAAAGATGTGTGACTCAGTGTTCTCATCTAGTGTATAATTAATGTCTCTTGTTCCCTCTTTCCCGATTTGTTTATATGAGCTTTTATCTGTTGTCATTATTTGGGGATATTTGTAAAAGTCAGGCACAATTATTTTTGGTTTGCCATTTCCAAATGGCTTAAGACCAATTAGAGCCTAATTTGCAAGCAACAAGCTGTGACTGCAAGCCGGCTGTTCCTTCTCTTTGTCCTTTTTTAGTGATTTCATGAGGAGGAAGAGAGTCTCAGCTTCATACTCTGAAGAGCTGGGGATATAGATCTCACTGGATGACAAATCAGGTCCAGAAATGATGACTTATGTGAACCTTTGGCCCCCAATTTGTTTCTTCAGATTCACGTGCATGAATACCAACCCATGGAGGGCTGATCTCTGTACATATTTCTAGTTTTGTTTTTGCCATTTACCATTTCAGCATTTTCTCTTCCTCCATTTCCTTTCCTGCTGTTGGGGCCTTGTGAGTTAACAGTGAATATGATCTTTGCATCAAGCTGCATTAGCAAGAGCTCAGAACTCACTCAGACTCAGGACTCATCTTGAATACAAAGGCCTGAATCTTTTTTTTTCTTCTACCACATTACAGACATCTTGCTAAGCTTTCAGCTAATAATACACTAAACCAAGTTGTGAATGTTTCCTTCCCTTTAATTGATGAAAATACGTCTGTCACCATTTTTCCATGCCAATTTCATTGGCCTGCTTATAAATACCTCAAGTTAGAAAATTAAGTTTTCTGTGAGTGTTTTGATAACATTTTGGCTATTGCAAATACAGTCTCTATTGGCAACATGAAAAGTTGGAGAAATTACCATAATCAGAAAATTTTATATTTGAATTTCCCGATGAATCAAATTTAAACACTTGTCTTCAGCTGTAGTCTCTGGATAATGTTCATTTCTCCATTCCATTTCTTACAGAGCCAATCTTAAGAGCTTTCCTATTGAGTCTTATTAAATAGGGGGGTTAAATATATGCACAAGCAAGGAAGGCCTAGAAAGCAGGTGATAAAATGTCATACGTGAATGAGACATGTAAGTATGAAGTCCTGAGGAATTTCTATGTCAAACATTCTACATCAGTGAGTGTAGTGTGATATGCTGAGTTAGAGTCTGGCATATAGTAGCTTTTCAGTAAATTGCTGAGTGAAAAAAAAAACATTGAATATATATGTATGGGAAGTTCATAACATTGCTACATTTTCTTAGGATTCTTTCCTGAACAATGCTTCTCTTCTGAACAATGCTTCTCTTGTTGCTATGAAACTCAATCCTTGTTGATGTAGAGTTGCCCAGAGTTTTGGGTGAGAGCCCAGAACTGCATGTGGCTTGAGGTCAGAGGAATTGTCATCTCCCTCTGCTAAGGGGGTCCTACAAATTCTATGACCAGAAGGACCATCTTGGCCACCTCATGACCTTTGATGAGTTGCCAGCCTTGAAAGTTGTCTTGCTGTTTTCTAAGTATGTAATAAATTCTGGAATTTGCCTTTGATTTCCAGAGAGGAAGAAAACCATTTCTTTTGGCGGCTGGGAGGGGCCATGTGCAAATGATAGAAAAACTGACATTCCTTAACCTGCACACTTCAGAAAAGGACAAGGTGAGCTGGACTTTGATTTCTTTGTTGAAAACAAAAGAAAGGGAAAGTGAGAAATAGCAGTTGGTGTGGAGATTTGGCCATAGCAATTTGATCCACAGTAGAATTGTTAAATTGTTACCACAAGGGGAATCATGGACTATCCAAGTACTATCTATTCACCTAGTTATAGATTGTCCTCGGTGGTGGGGTTTTGAAACCAGTTGGCCTCATGGATTTTTCCATTTTCACCTTACCCCTTCTTCTCTCCTCCCGAGATGCTATGGACTCACTTCCGTGTTACTGGGGAGGGGAAGGGTCTGGGGTAGACTCCCATGTCTAGATGAACGTATCCGGTGGTCTTATTAGGGAAAATTCCTACATATGATCTGTGGGTCAAAGGGGTCTGCACATTTTATAGTCTTTTGCTATAACTAAAACGACCTCTCAGAAATCTTTGACCAGTTTGCCCTCACATAGGCTAAGTGTAATCACTTCAGTTGTCCACTCTTTGCTAGTAAATTAGTAGCAAATGTAGAGCAAGAAGCACGATTATTTTCCTTCTAGTTCCAATAGCTATTTTTAAAATTTTAAATCTTGAAAGTTTATAAGTAAATCTTACTTAAAGCTTTGGCTAATGTGGCCCACACTCAGGACTTCAGATTTAACCAGTGTGGAACTACTTGAGCCCCTCCGAAGCTCTGGCTGTTGGAACGGGTGCTCCCTGACACAGGGGTGGTGCCTGGAGTGTGTGTCTCTGTTGCAGGAGGGAAACACGGCCTTGCACCTGGCTGCTATGCATGGCCACAGTCCTGCTGTGCAGGTGCTGCTAACTCAGTGGCAAGAAGTGAATGAGACCAACGAGGTAAGTGGAAGTGCTTATTTCAGCTGGACACCCGACTGGAGAGCGGGAGGGTTAGAGAAACCACTTTTCAGAAAGGAACAGGAGGATAATAAAGATGTGGGCACCATGGGATGGTGATAAAATGTGATGTAAAAGATTCCAACTTTTTCCTTCAGAGTATCTCACAGCACTTTATCCATTCATTTGTTTACCTATTCCATTTGTGTAATGAGTATTTGCTCTCAGATACCTACAAGGCAATAGGGACATGCAAAAAAAATATAATATTGGGTCATGTGCAGTTATAGATGCCTGCTGTGAGGACACAAGACACTGTCCTAGAAATGGCAGTCTTTCTGGAGGCGGGGTTGTGGCATTTAAATGGACATTGGCAGGAAGGGCTCTGGATGGAGATCAGCAGGTGGGGGGCACAAGTGTAGCGTATTTCAGACAGAGGGAAGAACCAGGTAAAGGAGCCAAAGCATGAAAGAGCTTGTGTGTCCTGGAGCTGACACATTCAGGGTGACAGAGTTGAGGATGGTGGCCTGGGAAAGGTGGAACTTGAGTGGGCTAAGGCAGACAGATGATGAAAGCTGGTGCTTACAGTAAGAGGGTTTGTCTTTGCCCTGTGGCCAGCAGTGATCTTGAAATGTTTTAAGCAGTGAAGAGGGATGGGGCCCATTCTGCATTTATGCAGGCTTGAAGGGTGGGGTAGTGGGGTGCATGTGCTCGGCTCTGGAGCACAGGAATGAGCAGGTGAGGGGGGCAGGTAGTGCGGTTGGAATGAGTTTGGCTTGAGTCCCCTTGGGGTTATAGTCAGGTGGTGAGTATTAGGGAGGTGTAAGCTGGGTATGAGATTTGGTGCAGGGGCTGTGGCTGTGGAGGCGGATTTGTGAGTCCTCTCTTGGGACTGTCCCTTATCCTTTTAGTCAGTGACCTTTTTGGCTGGTTCTTTGGAAACCGAGGTGAATGGAGTCCTTTCATATTTCATAGTTGGGTATTCTGATAATTTCTAAACCTGATACTTCTCATCAGACATACTGGAAGAAGTGCTATCATAAGCATTTAAGATAACAGAATTGAAGGCACACTATTATTCTATGCAACACAGAAAAAATAATGCTGCCAATTTGACACACAAAAAGCTTTTCTGTCACTTAGACTATTTATTTTTGGTCAAGAATGGTGGTGTAAACCTGTAATCCCAGCACTCAGGAGGCTGAGGCAGGATTTCCATGAGTTTGAGGCCAACCCGAACTATATAGTGAGACCCTGTCTCAAAAAACCAAACCAAAACATGAATGTTTATAGTTGAAAGAGTTTTTAATCTTTTAGTTTTAAAAAAATCAGTTGATTGATTCGTTGGTTGTGATACTAGGGACTGAACTCAGGGAGAACTGAGCTAAATCTCTAGCTCTTTTTATTTTGAGAGATCTCACTTAAGTTTCTCAGGCTGTCCTCAAATTTTTGATCTTCTTGCCTCAGTCTCCCAAGTAGTTGGGGTTACAGATGTGTGCAAGGTATATGGCTTACTTTATATCTTTTTAAATCATTCAAATATTATATAAGGGAAAAATAAGCTGCACCATTGGTTAAATATTACTAAACTTCATGTTGAGTTCTATTCTTCTAAATCACTTTCTTCTTTAGAACCTCAATTTACGGCAATCAAGGGTGACTGTGAGACACTTGTTCCTTAAAAGGATGACCAAGTATCATTTCTGCGATTTTATTTAGACCATGGACAGCCATTCTGACACAATGCACATGCTCAATGACGGCTACCTCATGTCTGCCCTCTTTTTTACTTAGATTGTGAGATAAATCTCAATCTGAAACAATATATATCTTAGAATTGATAGTCACAAAAATTACAGTTGTGGGCTTCATAATGAAAATCAAAAGCTATAATGTGAATGCATGTGATGCCTGGGAAACATCAGCACTCCCTTTGACCCAGAGAAACCCATCAGCCTGGTCCTTGCATCCTTGGGCTTTGGAACACACATATTCAAAAGCAGGGCCCTGGGTGCCTGAGTCCAACCCTGGTTCCACCACTGTCTGGCTGGGAGATTCAGGGCACATTACTCAGTTCCTGCAGCTTCTGTTTCTTCCTCTGTAGGATAGCCTCGGAGGGCACAGTGAAGTTTAATGTGAAGGCTCTGCCATGCACTTAGTACAGAGCATAGCGTGGGCACTTGGGTAAAACATGGTGTTTATTGTTTTCATTGCTGTCACCATAGTTCAGTGAGAGGGACCACAATTGTCATCAGTATCAATAGTATGTATTCTTTTTATGCTCATTTCTTCTCTTCCACTTTCTGGGAGAATGTAAGCCTGGCTTTCAGCTCAGGATCAAGGACAAAGTAGAGTCTTCATTTGTTTATCTTTTTGAGTGTTCATTTTTTGGGAACTATTCAGCATAATGATGATCAGGTTTGGCTCTTTTAATTTACTTAAAGAAGATGCCAGGAATTTGGGCTTCTTGAAAGAGAGCTGTGAATCATGAGTTAAAATCTCAAGGAGAAAGCCAGTGTGGTGGTGCCTATCTGTAAACCCAACATTTTGGAAGCTGAGGAAGGAGGATCACACTAAGTTAAAGGCCAGACTGGGCTTTATAATAATTTAAGGTCAGCCTGAACTACCTGAGTGAGATCCTGTCTCAAAAAACAAACAAACAAACAAACCCCCAAACTGAAAACAGCAACAAAGCAACTCAAAAAGAACATGAATCACTCAGAGTAAATCTTGGGTGTGATTGGCCCTCACAAATCAATATAAAGTGTCTAAGTCCATTCTTGCTGCCATAACAAAATATGTTAGACTGGACAGTTTGTGAATCATAGAGATTTTTTTCTAGCAGTCATGGAGGCTGGGAAGTCTAAGATCAAAGTGCCAATATAGTCAATATCTGGTAAGGGCTTCTCTCTGCTTCCAGGATGACTCCTTGTGGCTGTGTCCTCACATGGCAGAGGGACAAAGTGTCAAACAGACCCCCTCAGGCCTTTCTATAAGAGCACTAATCCTGTTCACGAGGATGGAGCCCTCACGACCCCTGAAAGGCTCCACCTCTTGACATCGTGCACTGGGGATTAAGTTTCAATATGAATTTTAGAGGAACATAGCAGATCAAGTCCTATGGTCATAGGATTGAAGATCAGTCTTATTCATGCTTGCTCTTTTCTGCTCCATTGCTTTACCACTGGAATGTGTGTGCATGATTCATTCACTTTTTAGCTTTTGGGAGTGAGGGAATGTTGGGCAGTATTTGTAAAGTCCAATAAGCTGTAATTGCAGGTCATGATATATTTCATTTGCACACAGTACTGTGTACAGTGATAATATTATTCTTTGGGATAAGGCGTATAATATTTGTGTAGTTTTGGTGCTGTTTCCTCTTGTAAGCTGTTGCCAGATCAGTTAGAGTGAATGTGGAATGCTCCAGAGAACTGGTCTACAAACATTTTTGGTAGCAAATTCATATAAGTAAAGAAAGTTCAGGCATGAACCTGTTACATACATTAATAATTCAATTAGTACATTGTAAATTCTTAAAATTTGAGATTAAAAATAAACATACATGGCAGTTTTGTGTTTTCTCCATATGAAAAGGATTGCCTTACACACATCTAATTTTTCTTTCTCCTGGTTTCCTTTGTGTTCCTACATATATTTATTTGTACTAGTTGCCTAAATTCATTTAAGTATTCTTTAGCTCTTGGACATTAAGTTTGGTTCATTTGTTCCTTATTTTAGGTAATATTGTCAGGAACCACTTTGCATACAAACCTTAGTCTGAATTCCTCACTATTTCCTTTGGGTTTATTCTTAGAGGTAGATGGTAGGGTCTAAATATTAAAGAAGTAGATTCTTTTCTTCACTTTTATTTTTACAAATTTTTTCCCATTGGGTTTGCCTTTTAATATCTGTTTTTCTGGAAAAATGAGAAGAGAGATTATGAGGAAGAACTGTTTTGGAAATAGATGGCTATTTCAGACCCTCAGGTAAAGAAGCTTATGATACAGTTTTCCTGCTTTGTTGGGATGGGAACCTTGACTCATGTACTTGCCTCCCAGTGAACAGAGTTGTTCATACCTATTTAGTCACAAATAAAACCTTATGGACTTACCAAAATGCCACCATTAAGAATAGAATTCAAGAGAAGAAATGGTAAGGGAATAGCTAAGGAATTCCATATTTCTTTTATATTTTTGAAGTCTGTATGAGGAAAGGGCAATATCCTAGTAGCTATTGTGTGAGACCAGTTATTTCTCTCTCTCTCTCTCTCTTTTTTTTTCTGTTTTGACTTAAATAAACTAAACTCTGACTTTATCCAACTAGTGTTTATCCTGAGTTTTAGGAAACTGGAGTACTGAGGTCACTTTTAAAAACATTAATTGTTTTTTAAATGATATACAACATTTAAAATCAGTTGGAAAGATTAAAGCTGTACTCTGTAAAAAGAATTCTAATTTTGCATGTTTTATAGTTTATGTATTATAATTTGTTATTTCCAAGATTATCTTTCTTATCAGGTTGTTGTTTCCTTGTGGGCAATTCATACAGTCTAATACATGTTTGCTGGAAAGACTAATGAAGGTTAACAACATCACAGAGACAATGAAAAGAGGCAGCAAAATGGCAGAGTGCAAGATTTGATGCCAAACAACTTGACTTACTTCCTAGCTTTGCCACTTTTCAGCCGAGGCTTAGTTTCCTTATCTGTAAAATGAGGATAATAATAATAACTCTCACCTTATAGGATTACAGTATGATTTCATTGGATCAAAGCATATAGTCTTGGCAGTATAAATTGATGCACAAATGTTCAGTAGTGCTATCCATTATCAAGAGTAATGTACAAAAGTTATAGTGAAAGCATGCTGTTTATTAAAGTAATTTAATTCCATGACAAGGGGCAATTACTAATTTTTTTCCCCCTTTTTAGAATGGAGAAACGCCATTCTTTTTAGCTGTTGCAGGAGGTCATGAAGAATGCAGTAAAGTGCTACTGGCAGCAGGAAGTGATATCAACATTCCAAATAAAGTATGTGCTCTGGTCAATGTTTACCTACACAGGGAGGGGATGTAGAATGTTCTTTAGGAAATCTGGTCCTGCATTACTCATTCACTGGGATTTTTTAGAATTAATGTTTATAATATGGTTGGTTTTGCTTAAGAGTTAATAATTTACCTCTGATATTCTCCCATTAACATCTGCTCGAAAGCAATATCATTCTTCCTATTTATAGGAGGAGGAATAATTTGGGCAAAGGGAAGAAGTAATTGTCACTTCTTAAAAACAGACACTCTTACTACCTTTGTTTCTATATAGCAAATAGCACATGCCTGGCTTGTACACACTAGATATTGAAAATAATTTATCGTGTGAAACAACTAGTGGCCAGTGTGGAGCCTGAAACAGGCAGGATAGTACCTTCTTTCAAATACAGAATACTTTTACATTTAGTCGTGGTGCTAAAAGCCTTAAAACTCTCAAGACTATATTGTTATCCTCATTTTTTTTTTTTAGATCAGAAAGCTGTAATTTAGAAAAGCTAAGGAACTCATCCAGCATGATACAACTAGTCAGTGCCAGTGCAAGGATTCAAACTCATGTCTGACTCTAGTACTGAAACTTTTCACCACTGCAATGGCCATAAATTCAGGTGGTTTACTTTCTTTGTTTCTAACTGGTATTAAATTGCGATGAAAATAATGTATGACAAAAATTTAAAGAGTACCCAAGGGCATATGGTAAGAAATGGCTTACTCCAACTCCTCATCTCAATTTCACTCCCTGGAAATTTAATTAGTCTTCCAGGAATTTTCCATGCATTCACATGGAAAGTGAGTTAAGACACAATGATGCCACACAAATTGTACCACATCATAAAATATATATTGCTCTGCACTTTGTGGGTTTTAGTTTAATTGCTGATATCTTAAAGATCTTTATATCAGCGTAATATGGAAACAATTCCTTTTCAAATAATTAAACACTAGAATCAAGAATAAAGTGCTGAACAGGGAAGGTTGTATATCCTTATATTCTGCTGGCAGAAGTGTATATGTGTACAACCCTTTTGAACAGCAATTTGTCACTTTTCAACCACATATGGGAAATTATATTAAAGGAATAATTTAAAAGGAGGAAAAAACTAACTATATGCACTAAGGTGATGAAGTTACCATCAAAAGCCAAAGAATTATATATACTTTATATGTAAATGAATGATCGAAGAAGGCTAAATAAATGTTTAGTGCACGTATTTCTTGGAAAATTGGCTATTATGAGTTATAATGATAAATATTAAAAATATATTGTGATGTAGAAAATGTTCATCATGCTGGGCGTGGTGGCGCATGCCTGTAATCCCAGCACTCAGGAGGCTGAGGCAGGAGGATCACTGTGAATTCAAGACCAGACTGGGTTACATAGTGAGTTCCAGGTCAGTCTCAACTACATAGTGAGACCCTGTCTCAAAAAACAAACAAACAAAAAAAGAAAATGTTCATCATTAAACACTGATTAAACATAATTAATATAATAATATAACAAATATATAATAATATGTCTATTTCTATCTAGTCCTGAGGGAACCATAGAAAGGGCCAAAACTACCTTTCTTTCTCCCTTCCTCCCTTTCTCTCTCTTTCTTTCTCCTTCCTGTTTCTCTTTCCCCCTTTTTTTCTTCTTTTTCTCTTTCTCTACCCATTCCTTCTCCCTGCTTCTCTTTCCCCTTCTTTTTGCTATTAATTGCGGCACTCTGAAAGACTTCCATTTTTACTTTTACAGTTACTTGGCCACAGTAGGCTCACCTAATTTATAAGTGACTCCTATTTCTTAGGATTCTATTTGCATACCTGGCAAACTGTTTAGCAATGTCATGAATATTTTATGAATATTACACTTAACAATCAATGATGTATGTCAGTTAAGTATCTAGTCACTTCACTTCCATGGTGTTCTTTTGGTATTTGGAAACCAGTGAGTTTTTCTTTTGGGTTTTGCATATTTGCCTCTAGAAGTTCATAAATCCTCCACATTGTACTGTAGTGCCTCAGATTCCCACAGCTCCTCTTGCCAGAGGATTCCTGCAGGGAGTTCAGAAGTTCTCTCTGCTTTAGGTGGGCTCGGACCTTCCCAGGGAAGGTGCTTCTTACCGTTCTGATCTCAGTCTAAATGTCACTTTATCCAAGAAAGTTTTCTTGGTCACTCACTAGAAAACAGCCATCCAGTCATGTGTGTTACTTCCATTGTAGCACTTATAACTACCTGATATTATTCTTCTAATAGAATCTAGAATATATTAAACAGATTTATTCTTAGTCTACTGATTGATTGATACCAGTGTACCGACCCATGGATGTGTGGATTGTCCATCTCCACTAGAATGTAATGTCAGACAGCACATCAGATGTGTTTACCAGTACAGTCCTCCAGGGCCTGCCATAGGACTTGCCACATGGTAGATGCTCCATAATTTTTTGGGGAATGAATCAAGTGGTAAGTATACGTATTGCCTAGTTTGTTTATCTTCCCAGAGAGAAAGAGGTAGAAGAGTGTAGGAGGCAGAACAATGTCCCCCTCTCCCAGAGATATGCACACCTTAATCCCTGGAACCTGTGAGTATGTTAGGTTTTATAATGAAGGAGAATTTCAGTTGGAATTAAGGTAACTAACCTTAATGAGTTTTCCTGGTTTATCTAATAGGCATAAGGTAATCATAAGGGACACTTAAGGTGTGTGTGTGTGGGGGGAGAAGGTCAAGACATTGCAGTGTAAGGACTCAACCACTGCCAGCTTTGAAGATAAAGAAAGGATGAGGTGTAGGAGGCTTCAAAAAACTAGAAGACATGGAAATGGATCCCAATGAGACAAATGAAAAATGATTGTTCTTAGCATCTGTTCCAGTTATCTATTGCTTCGGAGCCACCTAAATGAAAAACCAGTGTCTTAAAACAATGATATTATCTTTCATGGATCTGTGGTGTTGATCTAAATAACATATGGAGGAAGATTCCCTAAAGACGAAGTTTGCACGGAAGAGCAGAGCAGTGCAGTGGGAGTCTGTGTGTCATAGTAAGCCGTAAGCTTATTCAAGGACGTTGAGGCCAGGAGGAGATTTTAGAGGCAAAATGAAGAGGATTATATAAGACATTTTGAAAGAATACTCTTTGACTATAAAGTTTAGTGAAAAGGGTGGCATTGGTCTCAGATTACACATAATTGTTGGCAGACATCTGTGCAAAAGAATTGTTTGTGTAGCAGTGCCATGGCTATTGTCCCAGCTTGTGTTTCTGGTAGTCTTTTTTAACCGTTATCATTAGGCATGTGTGTATGAAATTTCTTTCTTCACAATCTCCTGGCTTTATTAAGGTTTGAAAAAAGTGATTCCATTTTGATTCTGACAACTTTCGCAATGGATTGATTGAGCTCAGCTGAGAAATTCTTACTTTGGCTCTGTCGTGTGATTACAGTCAGAGACATCAGCCAGGATTTTGGTCACTTAAAGGATTAACTAAATTAGGTATCCAAGATGCCTCACTCACATGCCTGGTCGTTGATGCCAGCTGTTGGCTGGGGGCTCAGTGGGGACTTTTGTCCAGAACACAAACACATGGTCTCTCAGTCTTCTTGTCATGTTCTCTTGATCAGAGCAGTTACATGGTCCACCTAGATTGAAAGAGTGAAGAAACCCCACTTCTTGATGGAGAAGTGGCAGAGTCATATTGCAGCAGAGCATGTGGGACAGGGGATATCAGTGCGGCCACTTGGGAAGGTAATTTCCTCCAGTACCTGTATCAGGAGGACCTGAAAACACTTTGTGCCGATCTTATAATTAACCAATCAACAGCTAATTCATTGACATATTATGGCAAGGCACCATGCTCGATTGGCACTAATGTTCGCCTTCAGAACATTGCATATTTGTTCCTGAGGACTGTGACACTGTAATAGTAATAGTAATAGTAATAGTAATAGTAATAGTAATAGTAATAGTAATAGAGACACTTTGAAGTAATAGTGCCCCAAAGCATTGGAAACATTGGATTTCCTTTTCTAGCCAGCTCTTCTGCTTCATTGTACTAATTATTTACCATATGAGGACAGCACATTGGGTTGTAATGGGGATTCCCTCTCTGTCCTCTCTGTCTCTCGCAGCTCAATGTCAGTGCTTTGCAGACAGCAACCCAGAATGGCCACGTGTCCCTCGTCAACTTTCTTCTCAGTGAGAACATCGAGCTGCACCAAGGGATGGAAGTGAGTCTGTTCCACTTAACAGGGGCTTTGGTCCTGGTGCCACGAGGCTGTCTGGGCAGGGGAGATGCCCGTTATGATATGTGTAGGGGTTGAGGTGTTTCACAAGGGACAAATTCTTTCTGCAAAGGCTGGCTGACTCCTTCTAGGGGCCGAGTCTTAATCTTGAGAAATAAAATCCATCGGATGAATTTTTAAAAGTCATTGAAGTCCCTGAGGAAAATGAAATCTTTGTGCTTTCAATATGTGTGCTTGCTGCAGTCAAACTTTCTCACAGGTGGGTAGGTGCCCAGACCCCTGTAGTAATCTCATCAGCCTGGGAAAATGCAAAGCTGCTGTAAATATGAAGAAGGGTGGTGATTTTTCCCTCTTTCCCTAAATGAGCATGTTTTTTCTTTTGAAGGTCAACTCTTTATACTGATGTAGGTTTTCTGAAGTTTGAATTGGCTTTGGTCGAATGAACAAAGGCCCTCTGTGTTAGAATTAGACAAGAAACATTCCTCTGCTTTCCAGTGTATTTTCATTTCTCCTGTGAGAATATTATTTCCTCTGATCTTGCTGAGCCATTACTATTTATTGCATTAAACTGGAAAGAAGGGATGTGATTTGAATGCTGTTTGATAGTTTTTGGAGCCTGGAATTAGCAGAATTGGCTCTGGACTTACCTGGTCAGTCCAAAGATACTTTCTGTTTCTCAAGAGCAGCTTGACCCCAGCAAGGTGGGTGGTCTTGGCCCATTTCTTTAAGAGGAAGTCTGCTTCAGTTTCCTCCTTAATGTCCCAAGGAAGAAGTTTGTCCCTGAACTGAGGAGGCCCATACTGCCTTCCCCTCAGGCAGCCCCACACTTCCTTCAGGGCCATCTTCTCCTCCGTGGGCCTCAGCCGCCTCTGGCTGCTCAGCCCTGCTGTCCTATCTGCCCCTCTTCTCTTTCTCTCTTGCTGGTTACACTCTGGCCTGTGCACTGCACTTTTCTTCCCTCTGTCTCTTTGTCCTCAGGAGGAGGCTGGTGCAGACGTTGGGGTCCTGAAGGCCTGGGCTCAAGCCCTTTCTCTGCACTTCTTCACTCTGTGGGGAGTCCTGGCTCTTTGCCCCTTGCATAAAGGGGAGTTGCCAGAGTCCTAGGATTACTGTGAATACTGTTCCTGCACAGCCAGTAGTTAACCTAGCATTTAAAACAGAGCATCAGTTGTTGGGGATGTGTACAAAGAACCATTATGAGAGTGCTGAATGGGCCCAAGTGATACGTCCACCCTGGGTGCCCCGCACCTCTCTCTCAAGCCTTAGCTGCTTCTTTGCCTCTTTCCCCCTGGCAGCTGCCTTCCCTCCTCCTGGAGCCCGGTTTCCTCTCCTGCCTCAGTGCACCAGGGCAGCTGCGTGGAGCTGATGCCTAGTGTGTTACAGAGCAGGTGGGTTCCAGCCAGGCTGGAAGAAGGACCTAGAGGCTCTCAGGAGAGTGTGGCCGGGAAGACCTGATTTATCCACAGAGGAGAAGAAAGAGAACTGGCTGCAGAAGGCTTCACTCTGAGGAGCATGAACAGCTGAAAGGGCCTTTACAATGCTGAGTCCTATAGCCAGTAAGGGCTCCGGATGCAAGACCCAGGGACTTACTTCCGGGAGCCTTGAACAGCCCAAAGGGCCTCCAAGATGCTGGGAGATCTATAGCTCAGTGAGGCTCCGGGAGCTTGACAAGCAGCAAGAGACACCCAGGAAGGAACACACAGAACTAGTTGGAAAACAGACCTTTATTAGTCTGGCCAGACAGCAGTTTTGGAACCAAATTGCTGGCTCACAGAGGCACCAGCTCAGGGGTTTGCACAGTTTTTAAAGACAAGGGGTGTGGATTACAAGCACAGCAAGTGGGCAAGGGGTCAAGGGTCAAGGTTCTGCTGACCATCATAGATGGTAAGCAGTCACGTACTCTGGAGTCACACATCGATGATTAACAGATGCCTATAGGATGTTTCAAAGGCCACCAAGACATTCCGGATGAGCAAACAGTTTGACAGTTAACTTGGGATATCTATGTATGGTACAGATTTTATTTCGTAGTCTAGAGCCACTAACTTACACGTCAATCGTGATCTGGACTTCAAACAGTACAAGATTGCCTTACATTCCTAGGCCAGGGTTAGAACAAAGGTCGGGGCTACAGCCACAATGGGAGGGGGTTAGAGCACTGGCTCCTAGGCCCCTTTTGCTTTGGTCTCACAGTGGATACTCGTGGCTGGATTCTGGAGAGGAAAGCTGAACACAAGAATCTGCCCCTGAATAAATGCGGAGGGACACCGGTCCCCTGATAGACTGCAGGGCCTGCCATTGTGGCAGACATTTCCAGCATCTGGGAGTTCAATGGGAAATCCACACAGTATCTGCACAAATGGGTTGCTTTGTGATTTCAATGGAGAAGCCAGAATCTTTTGGATTTGAAATTTTTCTCTCCTTCTGCAGCCTAAGGAGTCCCCTCTTCATTTAGCAGTCAGCAACAACCACATAGCTGTTGTAAACAGCTTATTAAGTGCCCAGCACAACACTGATGTCTTAGATCAGGTAAGTCAGGCAAATCAGAACCCGGAGAGCCTGTTTTCTTGTTTCAACACTCTGTGTGCTCTTGGGAGTTCTGATCTAGTTCAAGGTGCCCTTTTACTCTTCTCATTCCCCCTTTTCTCCTGTAACCTTCACCCATCCCCACTGGGTCTGTTTTAGAGGCACAGGTAGGGTTCAGCCGTGCTTGAAGGAATCTTGTTCACACCTAACAGGCCTAGTTGGCACTTTTGCTAAGCAGTTGCTCAGAGGAGATGATCATTGTTTCTAAGTCTGAAGCTTCTCCCCATGAGTCCCCTAAGGGGCCCCTTCTGCATAAGAAGGAAGCTGCCTTCTGCATCGTGGACTGTAAATGTGTCTTCCTTTGCCCAAAGCCGAAAGAGACCTCTTGGAGTACAACAGTCATCAGGAATTCAACCTGCTGGGGCAAAATCAACTGCTTCATAAGAGCCATTATCACTGGCTGGAAAAGGCAGTGGGAGGCAGGACCACAGCAAGCTGAGAGCCAGGCACTGTCCCCTGTGTCATGACCTCTCTGCTCTCTTCCAGGGAAGTAGGGGGAGGTGCTGGGCCTGCCTGTCCTCGTCCAACTTGTGGCCCCATTTCCTCCTCTGTAAACCCAGAAACAGACTCCAGCTCCAACCTCTGGGTTGACTTTTGCCAAAGCCAGTGGGGATTTCATCTCCACTTCTGTCCCTTCCTCCTGAGGGAACCTCCTGTTTCATGTCTTTCACTATCCCAGAACTTAGGGGTAGAGATCTCATCCTCTGGTGATTAAATAAATTCACATATTCAACTCTGCTAATGCCCTAAGTCTTTTCTTAGTAGGTAGAATCTTTGCTAAATACACAGAGCCTTATGCTCACCTGACTTTGGTTTTCATAAAACTGCTTAGATCTCCTCTTGGGAAGGAGCATTCGTTAGGCTTGCCAACCATTTATCACCTCAAGCTTTTTGGTTAGACCAAGAATACACATGTAAAATAAGAAAATTCACATTTTGCATACAAAATAAGAACATAAATATACTAAAAAAAAAAAAGCATATTTATAGAGAAAGATAATTCTCTTTTTTTGTTGTTGTTGTTGCCGGGGATCCAACTCAGGACCTTGCGCTTGTGAAGCAGGTGGCGGAACCACTGAGCTAAATCCCCGGCAAGATAACAGTTTTTAATATCTTGGTTACCTGTCTTCTAAACTTAAAACAGAATTGTCAGCATGAGATTGCCAAGCATGGTGGTGCATGCTTGTAATCTCAACAGGAGGCTGAAGCAGGAGGATTGCTGCGAGTTAGAGGCCGGCCTGCCTGAGCTACATAGTGAAACCTTGGTATCTGTTGTATTACGCTTGTGCCTGTGTTCCACGTTGGTATACCGTCCGTAGGTTCATTGTACTGAATTTTAGACGATGAGCCCCAGAGCCTGCAGCTGGAGCTGTAATAAATGCTTTTCACTTAATCATGCTGGCTCTTCCAGAGAGTCGGCCCTGCACTCGGGTGGGAAGACTGCAGGGTTCATGCCATCACTCAGCTGTGTGACCCTGCGAGGTTGCTTCCCCTCTCTGGCTGCGGGTCTGGGCTAGATCACTGCCAAGGCTCCTTTGTGTCCCGAGAGCTGAGAAATGTCTTCACACCAGCCTTCCTTCTGGTGGGAGCTTCCTTATGAGAGATTCTTGAGATTTCACATCTTTCTTTTGAAACACTCACCCTTTGATAGGAGGACTACTCCAGAAAGAAAGCAGGAGTCCTGGCCTCCTTCATGCATTATAACATGGGAATCAAGGAGACAGCAGTAACCACTCATTCCTCCATCTAGACATTGCTGCTGTTAACGCTCTTTATCTATTTCCTTCTCTTTCTCCATGTGTATTTTTAAATTAATTAAGCTCAGCTGGTTGTAGTGTTGTTGTCTTGTAAGGTTTTTTAATGTTACATCAAATATTTTTTCACTTGTAAAAATAATTTTTGAAATCATATTTTGTGGTAAAATAAGCACTGCATGAAAATGACCATTTTAACTCTGCAGTCCTGTGGCACCAATTACCTTCATGCTGCATTCACGTTGTGGGCGATCATCTTCGCTGTCCATCTCCAGAACTCTGTGTGTGTGTGGTAACAGGGATTGAATCCAGGGCCTCATGCATGCTAGGCAAATGCTCCGCCACAGAGGTCCCCAGCCCTTGCCTGATTTTTGAAAATTTTATTTTGAGACTAGGTCTCACTGAGTTGCCCAGGCTGGCCTCCAGTTTGTGATCCTCCTGCTTCAGCCTCCTGAGTAGCTAGGATTATAGTTGTACATCACTGCACCCAGCCAGAACTTGCTTCATCCTCCCGAAGTGTGACTCCATACCTACTAATCAATAGCTTTCCCCCAACTCCCTTCTCCACAGCTTCTGGCTGCCACCCTTCTTCCTCCTGTCTGTACTACTCTAGGTACCTCACACTCAACCCTTTTTTCTCCCCCCACTTCCTCCTTCCCCTCCCCTTTTCGGTGTGACATGAGTCTGACTATATTGCCCAGGCTGGCCTTGAGCTTCTGGGCTCCAATGATCCTCCTGCCTCATTCTCCTGAGAAGCTGGACTGTAGGTGTGAGCCACTGTACCCAGCTCAGAAACAGTTTTTAATGGTTGCCTCTGATTCTCATTTATAGATGTGGCATACTTTATCTCAGGTCTCATTGCAGAAAATGATGTTTCACTATTATGAATAATACTGCAGTGATTGTCCCCTCTGCCCATGTGACAATACATGATCTGTGTATTTCCACTTAAGCCCATGTAGTACACCTCAGCTTCCCCTTTGTCTTTTCACTGTGCAAGGACATTTTTCCCTCCTTCATGTGTCTCTATTACATTTTAAAAACTTACCGTGGCAGAGGCAGCGAACCCCTCTGCACGTGGCTGCTGATCTTGGAAATGTGGAGCTGGTGGAAACCCTGCTGAAGGCGGGCTGTGATTTGAAGATTGTTGATCAGGTAACCACCGCTTTCTCTCTCTGCTGCTGAGATGGTGCTGCGAGCATGACCCGCCGTCTTAGCAGTGCCTGTGGGACACAGGCACAAACCAGAGAGACTGCATTTTTGTAGACAGGAAAACATCCCAATTTTGATTGAGGTATGTCAATAAGAATTTGTACTCTAACAAATGTGTTTTAAGATTCAAAGTATCCATTAAATGTTTTTAAAGGTAGCAGATGTACATGGTCTAAATATACAAATTATATATATACAGTATATATGTATATGTCTTACAGTCAAATTTTTCATCCACCGTTGTCCCTACTTACCTGGTTCCCACAGGTTCCAGAAGGACCCATTATTATTATAAATCTCTTCTGTTCCTTCCAGGAGTTCTTTATACATACACAAGCAAACATTGAATCCATCATTTCATTTTTTTAAAACAATGGTGACATAATTATAATACTGTTCTATATTTAGCCTTTTCCTCTTAACATTAAAGTGTTAACACTTTTCCTTTTTTTTTTGTTTTTCTTTTCTTTTTGGTACCAGGGATTGAACTCAGGACCTTGTGCTTGCATGGCAGGTGGTGGAACCACTGAGCTAAATCCCTGGCCCAAGTGTTAACACTTTTCAAGTGGAAGTCAACATATTAGTAGATGGAGAGCGTTTCTATTTTTTAAACAGCTGCGAGGACATATTATAATTTACTTATATCTCAATTGGTAAATGTTAAGTTATTCCTACACTTTTACTATAGCTGTGGTGAATAAATGTACATGTGTCTGAACTTTTTAGTTTAATTAAATATTAATTTTGATAGCATACACATAACATAAAATTTATAATTTTAACTTTTCTTTTTTTGTTGTTTGGTGCTGGGGATCGAATCTGCGGCCTCAAGCATGTTTGGCAAGTTCTCTATAGCCCCAGCCCCAAACTTGCAGTTTTCCTCCTTTGTCTTTACCCACATAGTTAATTAGCTCAGTGCCTCCTTAATTTTCCCCACTTTAATTCAAAATCACACATTTTACATTTGTAGAAATGTTACCTTCTGCATGTCAGTTTGTTTTTTTTTTTAATTTTTAGTACTGGGAATTGAACTAATTGCCTTCCCATTGAGCCCTTTTTAATTTTTAACTGTGAGCCAGAGTCTTGTCAGGTTACTAAGTTACCCAGGCTGGGCTTCAACTTGTGACCCTCCTGCCTCAGCCTACCAGCATGCTAGAAATAGAGATGTGTGTCACCATGCCCGCTGCCCAGGCCTTTCTATATTTTGAGACTGACCCTTGCTAAGTCTTGAAGTTCCCCAGGCAGGGCTCTATTAATTAATAAATTAAAACTACATTTTCTTACCCACTTCCACTATTTTTACTAAAGATAAGTGTTTCTATGAACACATTTCATTCTAAATGAAAGAAAAAAATGAAAGAGCAAAGTTGTACATTTTACTTTCCTGGAGGCCTGCCTTTGGGGCCTGAGGTTCTTTTCTTGTTTTTGGAAATAAGGTCCCGTTATGTAGTTCAGGCTGGACTTGAACTTGCAGGTGATCCTCCAATCCTCCTGCCTCAGCCTTCTGGGTGCTGGGATGATAGGGCGTGTGCCACCACTCCCATCTGGGCCTGAGTTTCAGGAAGTTCACAGGGTCTCCTGTCCACCTCCTCTCACTGTCTAGGGTCAAAGTGTCAGCCTTTCACTCCAGTGCATATCATCAGGACAGTTTTCTCATTCTGAAACTCTGCCTTTCAGAATGTTGCTTTCCCAAAATAGGCTAATTATGTAGATTCAAATGGCTTTACACGCCAGAATTTAGACAGCATGCAATTAGAGGCTTGCTAAATGCCTGTAAAATGCAGTTCTTCCTAATTTCATTACTGTCTCTTTTGATTAGAGGTTGATTACTTTCAACCCTAATTTCCCAGCCCACCTGGGCCGTAGCGCCTGGACTGTCAGCTGGATCGGTTGTGTTTGTGGGAATTGTGCTCCTGGGCAGTACCCAGCCCTGCAACAGAATTATCAGTTATGTTTCTGCATCCTTAAGGGCAAAAAGACAGGTCCTAAGATAGGAAACTTCTGGAGTTATTTCTGACCATTCATTTTAATTATCTGCGGGGTACCTGAGCACAATCTTAGGACTGTTTGAAAAGCAAAGGAAAACTATCATCCTTTGTTCCAGAAGACATGTACATATAGAAGCCATGCACTGTGTAGAGTAGGGGATACTGTTTGTAAAGTTGTGTGTTCTGGCTTTGAGCTGCAGCCATCCAATGAAAATTGATAGTTTGTGTAAGACAGCGTATGGACTCTAGGCAATACAGATTCTAAATTATGTCCAAATAGCCCTTTTTGCTCATTCTGCTTGTGTTAAAATAGGAAAAAAATTCTAGGTAGGAATCTAGTTAGCTGAACTGTAGGCTATGAAGTAAGTTGTGTTGTCATTGTTGATTTATTATTATTATTATTATTATTATTATTATTACTATTATTATTATTATTATTATTTATTTTGGTACCAGGGATCGAACTCAGGTCCTTGTGCTTGTGTGACAGGCTGAGGAACCACTGAACTAAATCTCCAGCTCGATACTATTTTTATTAAGACACAGCCTTTTTCATATTACTCCACCCTCCTCAAAACATTTCATTTGCTGGTCTAAAGTGGCTGGCTGTTCGTGCTCCTGCCATCGTATCAGCATTCCACTCAGAAAGAGCAAAAGTGGAGGGAAAATGCGTCTCTCTTCTCCTCAAAGACACATCCCAGAACTTGCATGGTCCCTTCCACTGACCAGAGTATCAACCATAAACCCGGCCACAGGGGAGGCTGGGAAACATCAGGAATGGCTCCTGCCTAAGGGCTTGCTCTGCATTGCCACATGGCCCTCCCCACTGCCTAGTGGCCTAGGTTCACCCAACAGAGGAAGTGCTGGAATCAAGATCAGAACCAAGGTGCTTGTCTTCACTACCAGCAACACCACCGACCCTTTTGTCTGCTTCACTTTTAGCAAGGCAGGACCGCGCTGGCCGTGGCCGCCAGGGGCAGCCACAGCCTGGTTGTGGACATGCTCATCAAAGCAGAGAGGTACCGCACCTGGAGAGAGGTGAGGCTGTCTCCTCTGGGCGGGACTTCTGGGCGGGTGGGCTCTGTGGGAGCTCTCTGTCAGGGTATGGGGTTCAGCTGAGCCGGAGCCCCCTCCTCCTCCAGTTGTCAGCTCTTGGGCCTCTCGTGCCAGCTCCTGCAGTGTGGCTGGGCTGTGTGCTCTGCCCTGCAGTATCCGGGCACCTCTGCTGCCAGAGGCTCCAGGGAGTGGTAGAAAGGCTTTTTATGGTCCTGCCGTTTCCACCATACCCCTGGGGTGGTTCTCGGAGCATCATGGCTGAGATCAAATTTTATTTATCTGAGAACACATAAAAGCTGTTTCTAAGTCAATTTTTGGCCTCTCTTTCATGGTTATTTCCTCTGGTATCTGCCACTCTTCTGGTAAGAACTACCACCCCTGACCACCCCAATACCCCAATCCTGGTCTGTGCCCCCAGGCAAGGTGCCAGCACCAGCCTCAGGGTAGAGTGATTCCATCCTCTTGGCCCTGGGCTGCAGGACTGCTCTCCCCAAGAGGGTGCCAGCACCAGAACTCAGGCCCCCCTTGTGCAGGTGTCTGCCCCGGGGGAACTGGGAGCCTGACTTGCTGTCCACTTGGCCCACTCTGGGAAATTCCCTTTAAATGAAAGACGTTTACTGTCTATGCCTCTGTTTAAATGGCTCAGTACTGTGGACTTACAACCATAGGTTGCTTAGCAACAAGAACACACTCCGTGACATGTGTCAGCAGGCGATTTGATCTCTGTGCAACTGTCACAGGGCTTTTCCACTACCCAGGAGCCACTGCGTTGTCCCCGCCTCACCAGCTCACCCCTGACCAGGTCGCTGCTCTGTGGCTGTGTCTCTCCGAGTCTTCTAAAGGCCACACCATCCTCCGCACGCAACACCTTTTTTTTTTGGCCTATAAAACATTTTTTTAACAGAGCTCGACTTATCTCTTTCCTTTTCTTCCCCTTCCTCTTATTTCCATTGTTCCTCCTCCTCCATTTCCCCATGGTTTTTCTGTATCTTTATGCTCATTTTCTAAAACCATTACTGTATTTTCTTGAAGGCTGCTTTATTAAGTTCCACCTTTTTCATTTGCTTTTTAATCTGTTGCCTCCACATCTTCTCTGAAACTGGAAGCATTCATTAGCTCTATTTTTACTGCATAGTACATTCTTAGGTTCTTTTGGCTTGATAAGAGTAAGTGACTTTTCCAACAAATGAATCATCCCTCTTTCCTAACATATCTCTAACATATAAGGGTTAGATAAACTTTGAAAACTATATAATGTATAAATGTAGCTGACGGAGGCCCCCAGAAATGGTGAGTGTTGTTGACCCTGGTGGCAGCTGGAGTTTTGAGGTCTGAGGTGGGGGGAGATTTGTTTTTTTAATATATGTATAGCTTTTATATGTATATGTTTACCAAGTGCATTTATTATTGTTTTAAATCATCTTTGTTCATCAGACAAGCTTATGTCCTTGCCTAAAATAAAATGGTTCCCCCCAAAAGATTAAAGATATAATTTAAAATTTCTTTCTTATATCTACCTTCTGTTCATGCATATATATATATAAATATATACATATATGTATATATTTAGTCTCTCAGTCTTTCATCATTAAATTCAGCGATTCAGAAGCAAAAGGGCTTCTTAAAATTTGGCGTATATCCTTTTAATCGCCAATTTTGGCCCTGTGACTCCACAAGCCCAAATGGACCTGCACATCATTCAGGGCTGTGGCAGAGAAACTAACGCTTCCACCCACATGGACATGTTCTGTGCTTTCCTGTGGAGGCTGAGGGTCTGTCTACCCAGCCCAATCCCAGGATGCATGAGACATACAAGTTTCCCTAAGAAATACAGATGCTATGGTGCAAGAATGCACTTTTTATCCTGTGGTGTGGATATTTTGGTGGATTCACTGTTGTTTCAGGAGATGGGGTGAGGGGCAGAGGTGAGGGGCCCACAGCTCCTGTGTTTCTTGGGTCTTTCCATTGTCAACCTTTCTTAGGATTTCTTCAGAGCTGGATACTATGAAAGTAAAGCTGAAGACCTGTCCTTCACAGTCTCTAAAACAATTACAGGCAGCCGGGCGTGGTGGTGCATGCCTGTAATCCTAGCTCTCGGGAGGCTGAGGCAGGAGGATCCCTGTTAGTTTGAGACCAGCCTGGGCTACATAGTGAGTTCCAGGGTAGTCTCAACTATATAGTGAGACCCTGTCTCAAAAAAACAAAAAACAAAAAACAAAAAACAAAAAACCAATTACAGGCATTTCATGTCTGCCATTCCTATTCTAATGTGGACCAAAGGAAACTTCCAGAAGCCAAAAAACAAGTTGCTAACCCTGGCAAAGTGCTATCAGGCTGAACCTGGCTGCAGAGTTTGAAACCAGTGATTTCCCTGCTCCAGTCCTCCCCACTCCCTCAAGCACCTCTTTTCCTTCCCCCCTGGAGTTAGGCTCCTGGTTTCTTGACTTGAGGAGCCAGCACTGGGTCTCATTCAAAGCCTGTGTAGCCTGGGTCCCACTGGAGCTTTGGTATGAGAAAGTCAAATACACAAAAGAAGAAGAAGGGACTTTATGAAATTTATGTTAAAATTATTGTGATGGGGCTGGGGATTTAGCTCAGTGGTGTTGCTGACTGCCTCACAAGAGCAGGGTCCTGAGTTCAATCCCTAGTACAAAAAAAAGTTGTTGCGATATTTCCTTTCTGGAGTGTGCATATTTCAGTCAGCAGCACAGAGCACTATACTGCAAAATCCCTTATTTTCTGTGTCTGACAGAGGGTCCCTGAGCTTTTTATTTCAGACACTTGTCTCCATCTTGTCTGGCAAACAGTGATAGAGAGCTCAGGAAAACAGCTGCAGACACCACCTTCCTGGTGGGGTCTGAAAAGCACATATACTCTGTGTAAGGCAGTGAGCTGGCTTGTCTGGAGTAATCTAATGCAATCATTTTCAATTTAGAAGCATCCAGAGGATGCATCAGCAGGAGCTGCTCTGACTTTCAAGCAAGACCACAGTCTGCAGACCAGGCACATCCGCACGGTCCTCTGGAACCTCGCATACCGTCAGCTGAAGGCCGACCAGTGGCAGAGGCTGGCTCGCTCGTGGGACTTCACAGATGACCAGATTAGAGCCATTGAGGAGCAGTGGACAGGTGAGTGTGGCCTGCTGGAGTGGGCAGTGTATGAGGTGCAGCAGTCCTTTCTGGACCTTCCCGGTGCTCACAGGAAGCAATGGAGTCCGGGGGAGCCCCGGCATGGGAACAGTTAGCTTAGGGATTGGGAACTCTGCAGAAAACTAAACTCACTAGAGTCTGCAGTAAACTGAAGTTTGCAAAGGATGAGTACTTCTATTGAGCTGTGTTGAAAAGGTGGCCTTTAGCCTAAAAAGAACTAAAGTTCCCAACTGAGTGGACACCAAGGAAGCAAGGACTTAACAGTTGGGCATGCCACTGGGAAGCCAGCCTAATTTCTCCTGTCCCCTGTAATTGTCCTGTGGTCAATGGACTTACTCTGCAGTCAAAAGGCTCATTATTTAGGGTCTCCACTCCAGGAGGGATCCCTTCAACCAGGGAAAGGGGAAAGAGGTGCTTGCAGGATGTGGCTTGGTCGGAGTTGGCTGTCCCACGAGAGACAAAGGGGGATACAGAGGAACCTGTGGGTTAGGTGATTCTGAGTCATTTCAGCTGGACTCTGGCTGGCAGAATTAGTGAGGTCAGATCACCTAGGTCCCTTAGCTTTTTTGTGTGTGTGTGATGTTGTAGTTTGAACCTTAGGCCATATGTGTGGTAGGCAAATGCTCCATCTCTGAGCCACACTCCTAGTCTACTCCATGAAGATTTAACTGACAGACTTTAAAATTCCCCTCATCCTGCTGCCATGTGCACTGCAGGTATGTTACATTCCCAAAGGCATCTCCAATTTTCCAGAGAGTCACAGAATAATATATTCCTAATTAGCCACAAAAGAGAATCTTAATAAAGTGACAGAAACCTTTGCAGGAACCAGTCAGTATTTAATGTCTGCAATAGACTGTGTTGCACTTGTTCATATGAAAGTCTCTCTCTTGCTCTCTTTTTTTTTTTTTTTTTTTTTTTTTTGATACCAGGGATCCAAGTTGGGACCTTGTGCTTGGGAGGCAGGTGGCAGAACCACTGAGCTAAATCCCCGACCCTAAAGTGTCTCTTTAGGATGAACCATAAGAGGTTCCATGGTTTGCTTGTATTTTGTATGGAAGCATCCGGGGGGCATGGGACTGTGGTTCTGCCATTGAACTCACATACACAAGGGCCAGGTCCAATCCCCAATACTGCAAAAGACAAGGAACCCTCAGAACCTTATGAGGTTCCTGGGAGAGATCTCCCCACATCAACTGTAAGCTATGTGCATACTCCATGGAGAGCATAACCTGGCTGGCACGGCAACGTTGCATACACAATCCAATTCTATCAGTTGTGGGCTTTTGAGCAAATGAGTGACCTGTCAGTGGCACTGAGGAAAAATTATTATATTTCCCTGAAAATAAGACTGGGTCTTATATTAGTTTTTGCTCCAAAGATGCAATAAGGATTCTTTTCATGGGATGTGTTATTTTTCATATATAATAATATACATTTATTCATGTGTGACAATCCATATTTATTCATTTAAGCATTTATTCATGTACAAAAATCTACATTTATTCAAATATAGTCATGTCATCTTCTGGAATATCATCATAACTCTCTAACTCCTGAATTCTGGCCTGAATTTCTTGTGACTCCATTTCCTGTAGAACTGTTGGCCCCAATCTTGTGTCCAGCAGTAGAGCTACCCTTAAATGAGGGCATCTTGTCCACGTAGCCTGCCCTTAGTGCATTGGCAACACCGCCGTCAGTGATTTTATCTGCGACTTCTTCACTCAGGTCACAACCTCTTGCAGGCTGAGCTTCACCAAGTTTCTGGTAAATCAGGTGTTAATTGAAGATTTAGGAGACAGGAGTGGCAACAAAAGTGATGACAGTTAAGAACGATGGGACAGAGACTTAGCTCAATGGTTCCACCACCTGCCTCGCAAGCTCAAAGATCTGAGTTTGAACCCCGGTACCAAAAAAAAAAAAAAAAAAAAAAAAAGAGGAAATAAATAAGTCAATAGCAAAGAGTAACAATAATAATGATAATGATCCAAGAACGATGGTCCAGCCAGGTGTGGTTGCACACATCTGGAATCCCAGCACTCGGGAGGCTGAGGCAAGACCAGCCTGGGCTACATTGTGAGTTTCAGGTCAGTCTCAACTACAAAAAAAAAAAAAAAAAGAAAGAATAATGGTCCAGAAGTCAGGTGTGGCGGTGCATGCCTGTAATTCCAGCATTCTGGAGGCTGAAGCAGGAGGATTGTCATGAGTTCAAGGCCAGCCTGGGCTACATAGTGAGGTCAAGTCAGCCTGAACTACATAGAGAGACCCTGTTTAAACTTCCTCCTACCAAAAAAAGAATTATGGTTCACAGAAAAGTGACAAAAAATTGCAGGCACCCAAATTCAGAAAAAATGTCTTTATTTCACACAATGCGTTAAGTACATCTGTTACAACACATGGTGTATTGAATTATGAAGATTCATATTAGACACAGCCATGTCTGTTCCTTGTCAAGTGTGCACTTTATTTGTGCTTTGTGCCTCTTCTCTGACTGGTCACGCAGCAGTCAATCTTGAGTTCTTCTGTTTACACAGGAGTTCACCTCTCATCCAAAGGTGACTGACTGCTTGGGTATTTACAAATAACTATAATTTACATTACCATTTAAGTATTAATGTCAATATTATTTCTCATATGTAATTATATATTAATATTGTTATTTTATAATTACACACATCTGTCATGTGTTGTGATAGACATACCGAATGTGTCCATCTGGCTGACAGTCTTAACTGGGGCTCATCAGGCTTATGTTACGAACACCCTGAAACATCACGTTAGGGCTTATTGTTAAGGAAATATGGTAGTTTGTCAAGTTTAGGAGAGGAACAGAAGCTAGAGCACCCGCTTCCTGCATGCAGCGTCCTCTCCCTGATGCCCCTCTAACACTCAAGCAGCACACTTCCTCCTGTCCTTGGAGCTCAGGCCCCCTCTGTGGCCTCTCTCTGCTTCTGCAAAGGGGCTGGTCCTGTGTTTGTCACAGTGAATGCTGGCGGGAGTGACAGTGGTTCCTCTGTCGCCCCGTCCTGACAGCTCCCTCAGCATCTTCCAGGGCCAGGCACTTGGGGCGTGTTTGCTAGAAGAATCTCCCTGATCTGACTGGGGAGTTGCAGGCTTGCATTGGAGTGGCTTCCTTGACACTGGTGGCAGAATGGCACAGGCCCACTGTTTAAGAGTATGACCTACGGATCACCTGCAGCAGTAGCAATAGCCTGTGGGAGCTTGTGAAACACATAGGATCGCACTCTAGACCAACTGAATCAGAATCTGCACTTTGGCAAGATGCCTAGTTGAGACAGTGCTCTGCTCTTGTGGTCCCGGGGATTGAAACCAGGGACTTGGCGTATACCCAGCCCTTTAAAAATGTTTTATTTTGAGAAAGAATCTTAGTCATTCAGATACCCTGGCTGGACTCAAACTTGCCATCTTTCTTCTGTCTCAGCCCCTAAAGTGCTGGGATTAGGTACACGCCCAGCTGAAATAGGCACTTTGAGTTTGAGACACATGGTCTGTGCAGCACCACTTAAACTTTGCAGAAGAGATCCGTATCTCCTTCAGTTTGTCCTCAGTGGTTCAGTCCCTTTTGCATGCCCTGGGTGCAAACACCAGTCATCATGAAGCCTTGGCCACGAGGGAAATGGGAAGGGTTTCTGCTCGTCATTGGGCTCTGAGCTGTCAGAACAGGAGTGGACAAGTTGCAATTGTGTTCACAGTGTTCCACCTCACATCTCTTGTGCCTGGTGTAGGAAACAAAAGCTTCCGTGAACATGGCCACAGGGCTCTGCTCATCTGGCTGCATGGGGCCCTGATGACACAGCTTGAGCCCAGCAAACATCTGTATGCAGAGCTGGTGCGCGCAGGCTTCCCAGAACTGGCCGGTGAGTCCCAGCCTTGCACAAACAGTAGCTCCTTTATGGTAGGCGACAGTGGGGAGGGCAGCACCAAGACAGCGGCAGTCCCAGCTGCTGTTAACTGAGACCCCTGAAGAATGTGGAGCCGTGGAAGGGGCTTCTCCTTCCGTGGCTGAGCTGGGTGACACTGGTCAGTCATATTTTAGCCAGGTGGCTCTCAGTGTCAGCCCCCTGCCGGGCATTTGGAAAAGTGCAGGATTTTCTGCTTCTCTGCATGTGTGGGGTGGGTAGGTGGGATGGGGCAGAAGCTAAACCACCTCCCGTGTTATAATATTGCTCTGGACACTTAAGAATTGTCTTGCTCACAAAGCCTGTATTGCCCCTGTTGTGACTCACTGCAAGTTGGTAGATTTTAAAATGTTACCTCAAGGCTAAGAAAATAGGAAGAGAAAGAAAGAAAGGGGAAAAAAGAAAGAAAGAGGCAAACAGGCTGCTTGTCAGCTGAAGTTATTGCTAAAATCACTCTGCCAAAATCACTGATCATATTGTCAGGAAAGATACTCTGAAAACGTAAGAAATGAGTTGGTGTTATAATCTCATGGAATCACAACCTCAGAAGCTAGGTTGAGGGGCAGCTGCCATTGTGTTTCTTGCCTGATGCAGTTTCATTTGGAGATGAGAACTCAAGTGAATCAGCCCACAGGTCTAGCGGTCCTTCCGGCAGTGTGGATGAGACCTAGCCTCTGGGGGTCATCCTCCTAATGCTGAGGTTCCCCACAACCTCTGTCTTTCCTATGAAAGTGTCCTCTGGAGATTTGGTGAAGGTGCCACACTCAGACACAGAATGGAAGGGATCCTACCTGCAGCACGGAGTGTCTGGGAACGTGACCTCCTTGTACCAGTGTTCACGCCCATTGATTACAGAAGGACATAAAAACATCGATTTGACAGGGTGGTGTGGGATTAAATGAGAACCGTGACTGGCATATCGCAAGTGCTTAAAAATATTAGCTGTTAATCAATAATGTAATCTCATCTTTTCCAGAGAAGATTCGTCAAGTGAAAAGCAAAGCTTGCTCAAGCTCCAGGAAATGTGCAATTTCATAAATGCCTCAAGAAATTATATTTATTTTTTTCTTTTTTTTTTTTTTTTTTTTTT